GGGCATTGATGTTGAACACCCTGTTCCTCATATCCGTACTCAAAATGGTTTAGCAGAAGCATTGATCAAGCGGCTTCAGTTAATAGCTCGCACTTTATTCATGAAAACAAAATTGCCAATTTCTGCATGGGGACATGCCATCTTACATGCTGCATCATTGGTTCGATTGAGACCTATAGCCAACCACCAATACTCCTTAGTACAACTCGTGTTTGGGCATCAGCTAAACATTTCACATTTATGAGTTTTTGGTTGTGCTGTTTATGTACATATTTCACCACCACAAGGCACGAAAATGGGACCTCAGCGCAGACTGGGAATTTATGTGGATTTTGATTCACCATCTATCATTAGATATTTGGAACCCTTGACAGGTGATATGTTTACATCTCTTTTTGCTGATTGTCACTTTGATGAGACAATCTTCCCATTGTTATGGGGAGAAAAAACCGTTCCAGAAAAATGACAAGAGCTGACGTGAGGTGTTCCCACCTTATCTCATTTCAATCCACTTAGCACTCAATGTGAAAATGAAGTGAAAATGATCGTTTATCTTCAAAGTATTGCCAATCAAATGCCAGATGCATTTAATGATACTATGAAAGTGACAAAATCATTTATACCAGCTGCAAATGCACATGCAAGAATTGATATCCCTGTTGAACAAAATAATGTGGCAGCAAATGATTCATTTGATGCACGTCTGAAGCGTGGTAGACCTTCAGCTTCAAAACATTCAGCCCCTCAAAAAAGAAAGATGAGGGCACAACTAAATCCAAATGAAATCATTCAAGAAGAAAAAATGAATGACAAATCCATAATTCATGATTCTGTACTTTCAGAAAAAGAAAATGTCCCTGATGAGACAAATGTACCTAAAGAAATAGATGTACATGAAAGCAAAGAAATCTCCATAAATTATGATTGTACTAATGAATTCTGGGATCGGAATGAAATAATCATCGACGACATGTTCGTATTCATAGTAGCCACCGAAATCATATTAAGTGATGATATTGAGCCCCGCTCTGTCAATAAATGCAAACACATGCAGGATTGGCCTAAGTGGAATGATGCAATCCAGGTAGAATTAAATTCTTTAGAAAGGCGAAATGTTTTTGGACCAGTAGTCCAAACCCCGCCTGGTATAAACCCTATGGGTTACAAATGGGTATTCATGAGAAAACGAAATGAGAAAAACGAGATTGCAAGATACAAAGCACGACTCGTTGCACAAGGCTTTTCTCAAAGACCTGGAATTGATTATGAGGAGACATATTCTCCTGTAATGGACGCAATTACGTTCCGTTACTTAATAAGTTTAGTGGTTTCAGAAAATCTTGACATGCGACTTATGGATGTTATCACCGCGTATTTATATGGAGAATTAGATACTGACATATATATGAAAGTCCCATAAGGACTTGAGTTGCCTGAAATAACTAACAAACCACAAGGTATGCTGTCAATTAAATTAAGGCGATCATTGTATGAGCTGAAACAATCTAGACGAATATGGTATAATTATCTCAGTGAGTATTTGATCAAAGAAGGGTATATCAACAATGTCATTTGCCCTTATGTGTTCATTAAGAAATTTAACTCTGGATTTGCTATAGTGACAATATATGTCGACAATATGAACCTAGTTGGAACTTCTGAAGAGCTCAATAAAACTGCTGAATATCTGAAAAACGAATTTGAAATGAAAGACCTTGGAAAAACAAAATATTGTCTCGGCCTACAGATCGAGCATTGTGCTAGTGGAATTTTGGTCCACCAATCAGCTTCCATTGAAAAAATCTTGAAGTAATTTGGCATGGACAAGGCTTATCCACTCAGCACGCCAATGGTCGTTCATTCTTTGGACATTAAGAAAGATCCATTCCGGCCAAAAGAAGATGATGAAGTGGTCATTGGTCCAGAAGTATCATATATGAGTACAATAGGTGCTTTATTGTATTTAGCACAATGTACTAGACCAGATATAGTTTTTTCAGTCAACTTGTTAGCAAGGTATAACTCTGCTCCAACAATTCATCATTGGAAGGGAATCAAAGATATATTGCGATACCTTCATGGGACAACAGACATGGGTTTCTTCTACTTAAAGAAATCCACAAATGACCAGGTCTTTGTTGGATATGCAGATGCTGGTTTTCTCTCTGATTCGCATAAAGCCTGCTCACAAACTGGATATGTGTTCAAGAATAGATATACAACAATCTCATGACACTCAACGAAGCGAACATAATTTGCTACATCTTCAAATCACACAGAAATCCTTGCTTTACGTGAAACAAGTAGTGAGTGTTCTTGGTTAAGATCAATGATATATCATATTCGGAATTCATGTGGTCTTAACTCCGAAGACAGACAATCCAACTATCATCCATGAAGATAATACAGCCTGTGTTGCCCAAATGAAGGAATGATTCATCAATGGCGATGAAACCAAACACATATCTCCAAAGGTTTTCAGTGCATATGAACTTCAGAAAGCTAAAGTTATTGAAGTTAGAAAAATCCGTTCCAATGAAAATCTGGCAGACCTGTTCACCAAGTCTCTACCAAAGTGCACGTTTCAGAAGTTAGTGCAAAGTATCGGATTACGTCAACTTACCAATCAAATAAATTTGAAAAATGCAGAATCAGGAGGAGATACATATCAGGGGGAGCATCCATGATACATGTAAGTTGTACTCTTTTCCCTTCGATTAGGATTTTTCTCACTGGGTTTTTCCTATCAAGGTTTTAATGAGGCAACATAAGCATACCTAACGCTATATCAACAATCCAGATAAAGTTGTACTCTTTTTCCTTTGCTATGGTTTTTTTCCCATTGGGTTTTTTTCCAACCAAGGTTTTAACGAGGCAACTAATATTGATATGTAGGCATCCAAGGGGGAGTGTTGAAAACATTGGTAGTGTTGAAAATATCTAGGCAGATTAATGAATGCCCACACAGATTTTCAATACCCACACAGCAATGTGGACTTTGGAAATGAAAGAGATTGTATTTTTCAAAAGGTGTGTGCTGGTGTTTGGACCCAAATTTACACCATCAGCCCGTGCAATTAAGGCCATTGAGTGAGCATAGCTCTCAACTGTCGGATGAAAAGTGAAGATAATTTTATTATTATTGAAAGATAATATTATGATTTTTATCATAATAATTATCGTTTAACAAATTATTTTGATATTTTCTTATACGGGATAATAAGATGCAAAGTAAGTTTCCGAGCAAGCAGTACAATTCAAATGGACGTGGGACTTCTATTATCAGATTGAGCAGCAGCATGGTGATGGTGCATTAAGATGAGGTTTGAATAGTCAAGATGCATGGTTTTGGGATAATGTTGCAGTCAAGATAATGATGCAAATTAGAATGTCATTGGTACATGGAATTTGGATGATAGAGATCCACGACATTTAAATATTATAACCAATCTTTGGATTAGATTGGTGTTTTGCAAAGATGAAAGGAGCACACGACATTGACCCGAGGAATCTTAACTTTTAGTGATATTATCAAAAAGGTTCTTTATCATAATATATGGACACTGAGAGTTAGAATGGAACTGGAATACTTTATTTTAGTGGCTGAGCATTACAAAATCTATAAATAGAGGCAGTGGTAATGACAAAAGGGACCTCCAAGTCAACACATAACTACCCTGCTCAAAACCTCTCAAACATCTTGAGATTTTTTATTTTCTTTTTTCCTGCCGACACATCTTTAGTTTGGATAAACAACACTATGAAGGCAACCGGCGAACACCTTCAGTTTGGATAAACAACATTGTTGCTGTAGAATCAGCCGACTGATGAGCATCGTCAGTTTGGATAAACAGCACTACGTCGAGGCCGACTGGTTACCTATCCAAGTCTCGGTCGAGAAGGGTTTCCGAATCTTTATTGGTAGAGGTCATCTTATTAGCCTTCTCGGCGAAGTAAGGTGTTATGAGTTATGACATTTGGCGAATTGAGCACCGAGTGATTTTATGATTGGATACTCACAAGTGAGTTTCAGAGTTCGGTATTCTGACAGCCGAACCACATTCACCATCAAGACATACATCACCTTTGAATACTTGTGTCCAACTGTCTGGTGTCGATTCGACGTGCTTATACTCTCACGAATATAATCACTGTGACCGAATCCGGCACCGATGATTTGTGAACTTCGCAGAACTAGCAGCCTTGTCTTCAGGCTCGAGAATCTGAAGGCCGAGATTTGTTCCTTCCTTGACCGCAGTCACAAGATAAAAAAGTCAGGAACGCGCTTAACGCAACATCAACAAATTTTACTCCTCGGCCGACGAGTTGGCATGCCCCACATTGGCACGCCCCGCATTCACCCAAAGGATGTAGTTAGCTTATTAATTACTCGGCCTGTGCGCCACATAGGCTTTGTAATATTTAGGGTCAACAGTTGGAATTGCTCTATAAATAGAGCGCTCTGTGTACTGTCAAAATATAGAGAAAATGCAAGATAAATAACATCAGTATCTATTCGTCGCTCTTTTATTGGTTTTCCCTTTGTGTTATAGTTACAGTGTGATATTTTCTACCTGTTTCGCTCTTGTCATTAGTAAAGGTTATCTCTCTAACTTTTACCTGTTTATAACAAAAACCTTTATGGCCAAGATATCATATAGAAAGGGACCCTAGCTAGCAACTTAACAATTAATTCATGTTAGATGAGCTGCATGCCAAAAGTCAGCCATGGTACCCTACCATTTTTAATACCTTTGAAGGAAAGAGAGATGATGAACAGTTTGGAAGGCTCTAGGAAAGAGGACTAAGCTGACATTAAAATTTTGTCCCTACAACCCCGTGTGTTCTGACCCAATTGTTTTTGTCAACGGTTTCCTTACATCCATGGAACCAGTGCGTCCTCCAGATTTAAAAAAACCGAAACCGGTTTCTCAAAACTTGCTACTGTACATGTTTAGTCCTTCCATTTTTTTCTACTATATATCCCTCGAAAACCTTCTCATTATTTCCATCTTCATTTCTTGTTGTTTCTACCCACTATATTTCCTTGTTTATTATCATTCTCCTTTTTGGAAAAAGGTAGAGGTAGCTATATCAATAACGCAACTCTTTTCTTTTCAATTTTCCATTTTACCAACACGCATCTCAAATTCTAGGGTGTATACGTCTTCCTCTCACAATCACCTGCTTCCAAATACGCGGTACAGGCATTTTAACATGATTTTCCTTAATGTGCTTCTTTAATTTCCAGGTTAGGTTTTGGAATATATCTCATGTCTCCAACGATGACAGTGTTGACAACTACCGAGAATGGGGAAAGTGATCAGTACCAAAATGGCGTGAAGCGCTTGTATGAGAATGGTATAAACAAACTTCCAAACAAGTACATACTGCCCACTTTAGAACGACCTAACCGGAGTGATGACCAGGAACCAAAAGTATCCAACCAAAATCTGAAGCTGCCCATCATCGATTTCAAGGAACTGCAAGGTCCCAATAGACCCCAAGTCATTAAATCTCTGGCTAATGCCTGTGAACAATATGGCTTCTTTCAGGTGGGTCTTATAGTACTAATTCTTATTTAGGTACTTTGGGTTAATTGAGAAACGATTACTTTCAGCTAATTCCAAAATGAGTTATAATATTAAGCATATCTAGCACACCATGAGTTTAGCCAAGTTGGGTAGGGCAGTATGCTCCATTCTCTGCATGTACCCAAGTTCAAAGTTTCCTTCCCAAAGTTTAGATGAATATAGTGTAATTATCTTATCATGGTGCAAAAAAATGTTAACCGTGCTTAAAGCTTCAAAGTAATGGGTAATTGTGGTTTGATGTAGTTGGTAAACCATGGCATTCCAAGTGATATTACAAGCAGTATGAGCGACGTGAGCACTAGGTTTTTTGAGCTCCCTTTCGAGGAGAGAGCCAAGTACATGTCCTCAGATATGCGTGCGCCAGTCCGATATGGGACTAGCTTTAACCAGAACAAAGATAAGGTGTTTTATTGGAGGGATTTCTTGAAGCTAATGTGCCATCCTTTACCAGATGTCCTTTCTCACTGGCCTTCGTCACCGGTGGACATGAGGTGAGAGCTCAAGCTCAGTGTGTTTTTACTCCATAGGGATATGGCGGAAGTAATTAACGTGATCAATCATATATATTTTTAGCCTTCGAGACACTCATAAGTTTCGATTATGGTGTATTTCATTTACTAATTACATATTCTTGATCGCATCTCTTAAAAAAAGTCTAGACTTGCATTCCATTTGCATGTGTGAGTCCTCGTTCGAAACACGTATGCCGGAGATTGGTCAATTAAGCTACAAATAGTTTTATTGGTTGCTTTTAACTCTTCTCTCTTCCTATGTGGGTCAGTGTGGACATAAAGTATTGAGTAATAAACCAATCATTAACTTTCATGTCCTTTAATTTTCAAAATATAGTCTCTAAATTAAGTCTCCCTATCATTACTCTAAAGTATTTGGTCAGATATATATAACACCTAGAATCAGGAGCTGTACTTCCTCGTGAGACTACACATAGTAGCTAACTCATTATCCTATTCGAGCAATTAGTTTAATACTTAATAATTAAGATTTTAAAATGACAGGTAGGAATCATTTTCTTGTTCTACTCACATATGCATACATGTCTTTTTTGTATTAAGATTAATTAAATACTAATTGGGTTTACACAATAGGAAACTGACGGCTACCTACGCAGAGGAAAACAAATACTTATTCCTAATGCTAATGGATGCCATCTTTGAGAGCTTACGAATTGTGGGAACCACAGAGAACACGACAGAAGAAGATGAAATATTAAAGGACTTCAAAGATGGGAGCCAGCTAATGGTTGTGAATTGCTACCCGCCATGCCCCCAACCTGATCTAACCCTAGGGATGCCTCCCCACTCGGATTATGGGTTTCTTACAATTCTTCTCCAAGATGAAGTTGAAGGCCTTCAAATTAAAAAACAAGATAAATGGATCACCGTCGAACCAATCCCCAATTCTTTTGTGGTCAACGTTGGTGATCACCTTGAGGTGAGTTTTATTACTTATAATTAAGTAGCCACTTAAAAAGTTTTTTACTACATGCATGAATCACGTTGCTAATCATATATTCAACAAAGACAGAACACGTTTATGTAAATGATTATATGTCCTTTTTATGTAAGAAATATGCTCAATAATGTGATCAATAGATATAATCCAAAAATTTTATCTTTCTCACTTAAGAACTGAATCCACATAAAACTTTTATATGCAAGGTAAACTTATTTCGTGAGAGATGTAATGTTATCCATAAACATGTGGCACTAAATTATTAAATTTTGTGTTGAATTATATGCTAATATACCATGTCATTGACTTGGTTTTTCTTGTGTTAGATATTTAGCAATGGAAAATACAAGAGTGTTCTACATAGAGTGTTGGTGAATTCTTTAAAAGGTCGGATTTCTGTGGCCTCTTTGCATACTCTACCTTTCACGCGCTCGGTTGGACCGTCGCCAAATCTTATCAACGAATCAAATCCAAAGCGGTACAAGGACACTAATTTTGCCAGCTTTCTGGAGTATATTTCATCTCGTGAGCCTAAATGGAAGAATTTCCTCGAGTCTAGGAAGTTATTAACCTAATTGAAAAGGCATGCATGTTATGCATGGAACTTCCAATGACTGGGAAAATCTGCTCGTTGACCTTTTGCAGTTTCAGTTATAATTATGTAGCAATATTTCGTTGGAAGTTAATTTTTCTCTTTTTTTTCTTTTGTTTTTGGGTGGGGTCCAGCAAAGGCTGATTATAATCCAACCCTAGTGAGCACTACGTAGTTTAGTGCATGACAACTTTCACAAATGAGTTTATCAATTGTATTGATGGATATATGATGATATATGAAGTTTCTACGAATTATACAATTCTTTAGTTCTCGTTGTCACATGACATTGCTAGCGGTTGATTTTTTTTGTTATTAAAAAAATTTTGGTGCATACATTCAAGATTTCATGACCAAATTTTTACTCATTCATAATGAAAATAAAAGCTACTTAGTTACGTGATAAATAACATCATATTTAGCTGGCATGTGTAAGAGTGTTTTCCTACTATAGGAGTTTTGTAAGAACAGAAACAAGAATTACCGTTAAAACTCGATCGATCAATTGCGTCACCATCACGTAATTGCTTCTTCAAGAAGTACGGGAAGACTTAAAGTGCTTTTGTAATCACAAAAAAGCTCTCTCTTATGTTCCTTCGCTTGGCAAAGCAAAAATCCACCCAAACAAGCAAGGCATTGGTATAGACTTTTTTTCTCTTGAAGTTACAATCAACGGTGAACACACATCATTATTTTTGTTTGTACAAATTTCCGCTGAGGTTGAATTGACAGAGAAACCTTGCACGACAAATCCAAGAGACAAATGGAGTTATGACTAACACCGAAGTTGTGTTTGTCAAAGGGGCCACTGATGCTTAATTCAAGATATAATTCTAGGTTTGTATAAGTGTGGCTAGAAAGAAATTAACCTGAAAAAGAAAAATGGCGGAAGCTTGGCTAGTTATAGGCAAACAAGGAGTAAACTCTAGCATCCATGTACGTTGAACCTTGGAGTAGTGGTACCTTGTCCGCAAACGGCCTTAAAGCAGACGACTTTGATATATTATCAGTTCGCTTAATTGATCCGTCAAAGGTAAAACAGTCATATTACGTTAATATTATACGTGGCGTGCTCTAATAAGTTGAAATATTTAATGTTCCAACAATTATATTCTTGCGTATGCATTGGCAAAGTCAAGTTATATTATACGTTGACCAAAAGTTTTTAAATGAATGTCTGGTCAGCATCTTTTTTAAAACACTTAATAAGGTAGCGACCTTCTTAATATTATTGGATAACTACATGCAAATCAAACAAAGGACAATTTGAAGTTGCTGCGAATATAAATATTGAAGAAATGGAACCTCTATTTTTGTTCAAATATATTACAAGACACGATGAGTGTAAATTTTTGTTTCAGGCCAGTCGAATTCCACTTGGCTCTTTTGTTGACGCATCATCTTTATCAAACCTATTTTTGATTGAGCATTGTTCCCATCAATTTTAACATATTGCTCCTCTTAGATTTATGAAATATGTACTTAATAATGAAAAATGGAAGGAAGAACACATATTTATTCCACATTGTTACATCATCACATATAACAATCAATTTTAACATATTGCTTCTCTTAGATTTATGAAATATGTACTTAATAATGAAAAATGGAAGGAAGAACAAATATTTATACCACATTGTTATATCATCACATATAACAAGTTATATATACAATCGACATCTAATGAAATAAATTTATTAATTGATGGGGTATGTGCACATCACTTATCACATCAGATGATATACAAATAAAAATATGATCTCTCTAACATTTTTCTAATAATCTATAGGTGATTAAAGCAATGAGCGGGGGAATCATATTGCTAATCACTTTAGTTGTTGTGACCTGAAGTGCCTTTGTTTAGGACGGATCTCGTCTAGCTAATAAGTCGAATAATCAAATTGACACTCTCAAGTAGTTTTGCACATCTTAAATTTGTGTAATTTTGTTTCCCTTGTGATATTTAACTTATTTGGGGTAATGTTTTCAATAAATGAATCAAGGTTTGATTTTACTCATTCAACTGATTTATTTTTGGGTTCATCATTCAACAGAAATTGGATTGTCTTCTGAACAAGACAAACTCTCAACAAAATTGAAGTAGCCTGGGTCAAATTCTGTGTGGTTGAATTTCAGCGTATGGATGGCTTGGACCAATGTTTCTAGACCGACATATTCTTGACTTGGGCTAAAAATGGGATTTCCTTGGTCTCTATCCACAAGGTTGTCGTTGGTTGGAAATGTAACAATCAAAACCAAGCAACCGAGTAACAATATTAGGTTATGATGATGTCCAGCCTCTTCTTTTTAATATGCTCCTAGTGGCAGTAATAATATAACCTAATAACTGGCCACCTTTTCTTTGATATATAGCTGTTTGGGCCCAAAATAATATTGTTGGGCCGAGTGTTTGTTTGTGCTCGGCCCAAAGCTGTGTCAAAAGTACTATGGGCTGTCTGGTGATTCCAGACCATTCAGCAAGGATGGTCGAGTCCTATCACAAGAATGAGTAGTTCAAATAAGAAAAGGGGTCAAGGAAGTCCCAGTGCAATTAGGATTCTTGACCAACAATGAATAAAGTCCTAAAAAGGGGTCAGTTCAAAGTCCTAGTGGGAGTAGGGTTGTTCGAAGCAAAGTTGGAACAAAACAAGGAATCTCAGTCCAGATAAGAGTTTAATTCAATCTCAAGAAGAAGTTGGTGCTATAAATACAAGACATCATGCAACAATTCGAGACCTCCAATTCAATACACAACTTCCCTGCGCAAAACCTCTCAAACATCTTGAGATTTTTCATTTTCTTTTTCCCGCCAACACATCTTCAATTTGGATAAACAACACTGTGAAGGCAACTAGCGAACACCTTCAGTTTGAATAAACAGCACTTTTGCTATAGAATCAGCCGACTGAGGGGCACCTTCAGTTTGGATAAACAGCACTGCGTCAAGGCCGACTGGTTACCTATCCAAGTCTCGGTTGAGAAGGGTTTTTGAATCCTTATTGGCAGAGGTCATCTTATTAGCCTTCTTGGCGAAGTAAAGTCTTACGAGTTACGACATTTGGCGTATTGGACGCCGAGTGCTTTTATGATTCGGTACTCATAAGTGAGTTTCAGAGTTTGGCATTCTAACAGCCGAACCACATTCACCATCAAGATATACATCACCTTTGAATACTTGTGTCCAACTGTCTGGTGTCGATTCGACGTGCTTATACTCTCACGAATATAATCACTGTGACCGAATCCGGCACCGACGATTTGTGAACTTCGCAGAACTAGCAGCCTTGTCTTCAGCTCGAGAATCCAAAGAACGAGATTTGTTCCTTCCTCGGCCGCAGTCGCAAGATAAAGAAGTCAGCAACGCGCTCAACGCAACATCAACAAATTTTACTCCTTGGCCAAGCTTGCCGACGAGTTGGCACGCCCTGCATTCAACTGAAGGACGTAGTTAGCTTATTAGTTACTCAGCCTACGCGCCACGTAGGCTTTGTAATTTTTAGGGTCAACATTTTGGCATGCCCAGTGGGACCCTGTGCTAAACCTTCGGAGTTCATGACCATTGAGACACGGTCCGTAAAGAAGAAAGTCATGGGAAAGTCAATAACTGACTTATTAGTGCAAGGCCTTGGGCAGGATTTGCCTCAGGCACAAAATCTGATCATTGTTGTGCCATCCGAGGCTACAAGTACGACACGCTAAGATAATGAAATTTGTCTCGGTGGACAGCCCCGCAACCCAGAAGTTCCTAACCAAATGGTAAGCATTTCGTTGAAGGAATAGTGGAAGTTTGCGACGAAGATGGGGGGAGGGTTCTGATCCACCAACTAGGTCGTTTCTTCAAAGACGACTCGATGAACAATATCGACAAGTCGAGCAGTTGATTGGCCAGAAAATGAATGATTTACTATATGCAATACGAAGCAACAGTGATACACTGACCAGGATGCTTGAACTGTTGGTCAGTAAAGCCTTAGGAGATGACCATGTCAGCCAACCTCGGCAGTCTTCTTTTACGAATGTTCCATTACAAGTCGAGAAAAGATCCGCTCGGCTGATAGGAGCATATTTATGGGACTTAATTGGCTTGTTCTCGTGCATTTACGTTGTGTTTCTTTAGTTATTTTAGTCCTTTATGCCATTTTCGTGTGTTTCTAGGTTAATAAGGGCTAAAAGAGCAAAGAAGTGCATTTTGGGCCTTTTGGAGCACTATTGGGCTAAGGATGGATAGCTTATGCTTGGAGCCAAAATGTTGGATGAAATTGAAGGCCTTGTATGCACCTTAGGATATAAAACAAAGGGCCTAACCCATGCATAACCCACCAATTTCAGCCACATGCACACAAACACATTCTATGCCTTGCAAACCAACCTATTTTAGGCCCATTCTATGTACTTAAACCCTAGCCCTTTAAACTTGCAGCCCTATTATGATTTATTCACTTCCATACTCTTCTTTAATCCATATGCATTCATCATAATTCACAACACAAAACAGCCACACAAACCAACCCATTGCCGTGCCTTCCCTTGCCATTTTCAGCCATCACACTTCATCATTGCAACCACCATTCACCCTAGTTGTCAATCACATACTTTCCCATTGTATAATTCATCCACATGCATCTTTAATCATTCACTCACAAGCTTTAACCAACAAACAAATCAGCCACATGCACACAAACACACCCATGCCGTGGCCACCCTTGCATTTCCAGCATTCCCATTTGCATTTTCAGATTTTCACCAACCAATCTAGTTGTCATTACACATGCATTCCCTTCTTTAATCATTCCTCGCTGCCATTCACATGTTCTCCCATCCATTCTCTCCCTATAAAACCATGCATTGCATTCATACAATTCATCCCACACCTCATTTCATACACAACATACCTACAACCAACACAAAAACATTCCATTCATCCATTGCCGTGAGTCCCACTTCCATTTCCTGCATCTTCTCTTCCATTTCCATCACTTCCCATCCCTCTAAAACACTATCCAACAATCAACATATCCTTAGACCTTGTGCCACAACGAAGAGGAGGAGAAGAGTGCCTAAACGTTCATACAATTCAAGTTTGAGTTATTGGAACTTTTAGGTGTTGCTTTTCCTCGATTGCAATGTTTAATTTCAATTCTCTTTGTCTTGTACGTATGAGGAACTAAACCCCCCCTTGGCTAGGGGAGGATTCGAAATACATGTTTATGCTTGCAATATGATTTGATTACTTCTAATTACGTTTCATAAGTTGTGGATTCAATTTGTT